TTACCTGTTTTTGAAATACTGCTTTTGTACAGACATTTGCCCCTGCTTCTTTCTGTGATGAATGGATGACTTCCTTCTTATGCTTTTATTTCAAGATCTGCTGCTGGTACAAAATGGCACATACCAGTGATGTGATTCAAAAAATTTTACTACTGGTTCTGTGGGCATGGCTTGGTGGGCGTGGCTTGATGGGTGTGGCTTGATGGGTGTGGCAGGGGAAGGATACTGCAAAATCCCATTCCCTCCCCACTCCACTAACCTGCTTTCTAGCTCTGTTCTCCTGTGTAGGGCAACAAAAGAAGACCCAGCCGTTCAGCTGGGACTCGGGAGGCAGAGAATAAATGGGGGGGGGGGGCAGTCAGAGAGGGTATTTGCCAGTTCTCCGAACTACTCAAAATCTCCGCTCCGGTTCTCCAGAACTGGTCAGAACCTGCTGAATACCACCTCTGGCACATACTATAAGTATTTTATGCAATTCATTAGTGGGGCTGCCGGAAGAAGCAACTATTTTAGCTCTTTAAACTGAACTTGCACCTACTACATTAGTGGAGATGAGGTCTTGTGATACAATCCACTGGGAAGCTTTTCTGCACAAATGCCATGGAGGTACCACTAGTACTACTCATTTTGCATTATTCAATTTCATCAATACATGAGGATATTATAGTGGCTGCTCAACTGTTGCTTTTCTCTTTATTAGTAAGTTGATATAATCAAACATTTAGATTCCATCTGAAAGCAAGAGGTTTCATTCACAGAAGGCTCAGACAATGTCATCTTTTGTAGATTTGTATCACATAGTGCCAGTACTAAGCAAATGCCATTCTGCCATATCACTGGGATCTGGGATTAGCACTGGGAAATAAATGAGATGCACTTCTAGGATCCAATAGCAACATTCATAACTGTGAGAGGGATCTTGGAGTCTTAATGGACAACCAGCTAAATATGAGCCAGCAGTGTGCAGCAGCCGCCAAAAAAAGCTAATGCAATCTTAAGTTATTAACAGAGGGATACAATCAAGATCAACGGAAGTACTAATACCACTCTATAAAGCCTTAGTAAGACCACACCTAGAGTACTGCATCCAATTTTGTTCACCACATTATAAAAAAGATGTTGAAACTCTAGCAAAAGTACAGAGAAGAGCAACCAGGATGATTAGGGGACTGGAGGCTAAAACATACAATGAACAGTTGCAGGAACTGGGCTTGGCTAGTCTAGTAAAGAGAAAGACCAGGGGAGACATGATAGCGGTCTTCCAATATTTGAGGGGAGGAAGGGATCAAGGTATTTTCTAAAGCGCCTGTAGGCCAGACAAGGAATAATGGATGGAAACTGAACAAGGAGAGATTTAAGGATTTCTGGAAATAAGGAGAAACTTTCTGACAGTGAGAACAATCATCCAATGGAACAGTTTGCCCTCGGAAGTTGTGGGAGCACCATCACTTGAGACTTTCAAGAAGAGATTGGACTGCCATTTGTCAGAAATGGTGTAGGGTCTCCCACTTGGGCAGGGGGTTGGACTAGATGACCTCCAAGATCCCTTCCAACTCTGGTTATCTGTTATCTGCTCAATAGAATTAAAAGGCAGAAGGCATGTTAAATGCTAGAATAATAGGACTAGTAATGCTTCCTTTACTGCTGTGCTTGGTACAACTGTAAAGGAAACCATTGTTACTGGAAAAAAATGAAAGGTGAGAGTTCCATATATGTCATATAAAGGGTCTCACCAAGGAACTCTAAATTTTCACAGAAGAACATCCAATTTTTCTGTAGGATTTTAAAATTAATTGCTTATTCAAATACTTACAGTTGAAGACAAAAATCAGTGATAAATTACATTCTTTTCAGAAAGAAGATTCTTTCTGAAGGAAAGAAGGAAGAAGAAGGGAAAAACAGTTTAGCAAATTAAATTTTAAAAAAGTAAGAGAAGGTGGGAGCGGTGTAAAAGGATTTCCTGAGATCTTGGATAGCTACTATCAATCAGAGAAAACAGGACTGGGTAGGATGGACCAATGCCCATGCTTCAGGATAAGGCAGTCTCCACACTTTTATATGGAATCCCACCACTCAAGATATGGTAACTCCTGTTTATGTCTCTCCACTATCAAATTGCCCAAAGATAATGATGAAGAGAGTAAACAATAAGAAATACTCTACGATATCCAGTTCAATTTTTTGAAACAATTGTCCATTTCCAGCCATACTGCATTAGTTATACAGACCTATTGCCAAAGAAGTTTTAGATAAAGCTTTTATTATACCATCCTTCTATCTTACAGGGTCTGCTCGATAGTATTTTTCACTTAACAAAACAGAATAACAGAATTAGAAGGGACCTTGGAGGTCTTTTAGTCCAACCCCTGCTCAAGTAGAAGACCCTACCATTCCAGAAAAAAGGCTGTCCAGTCTCTTTTTTAAAATCCTCCAGTGATGGAGCACCCACAATTTCTAAAGGCAAGCGGTTCCACTAGTTAATTGGTCTCACTGTTAGGAAATTTCTTCTTAATTTTAGGTTTCTTCTCTCCTTGATTAGTCTCCATCCATTATTTCTTGTCTTGCCTTCTGGTGCTTTGGAGAATAAGTTGACCCTACCTTCTTTGTGGCAACCCCTCAAATATTGGAACACTGATATCATGTTACTTCTAGTCCTTCTTTTCAGTAGACTAGACACTCAATTCCTGCAACTTTCTTCATATATTTTAGCCTCAGTCAGTGATGGGAGTCAATTTTTTTTACTACTGGTTCTGTGGGTGTGGCTTGGTGGGCATGGCAAAGGAAGGATACTGTAAAATCTCCAGTCAGAGGTAGCATTTGCCAGTTCTCCAAACTACTCAAAATTTCCGCTACCAGGACTGGTCAGAACCTGCTGAATACTACTTCTGGCCTCAGCCCCCTAATCATCTTTGTTGCTCTTCTTTGTACTCTTTCCAAAGTCTCTACATCTTTTTTATCATATGATGACCCAAACTTGATGCAGTATTCTAAGTGTGGTGTTACTAAGGCTTTATAAAGAGATACTAATGCTGTTATATCAAGACAGTAAAAGAATTGAAATGGAAATCAGTGGTCACATAGCAAGATGAATTGATGGCAGGTGGACCAAAGCAATCATAGAATGGATCCCACTAGATAAAAAGCATCCATGGATGGATTGACGACATTAGCAAGGTCCAATTGGCAAAAGAAAGCTCAAGACCGCATAAGCGGCCATCATCCTGCAGTGAATAGACAATGGCTAAAATGATGATGACAACTATTCATATAAGCTTGATGACAACTATTCATATAAGCTTGATTCTACTGGTTCACACCTATTTGCTAGAACTGGCTGTTAACTTTCTAAGCAGTTCAGAGAACCGGTTGTTAGAAGAAATCTCCTTTTGTTTTTTTCCACTTTACATGCCCAATTCTGTAAGGAAAGCATTCCTTACATTCTGGTGTTGTTGCTTACAAAAACTGCATCTCCGTTTAACCCTTATTACATTCTCGGCAGGAGTAGACTTCCTTTCTCTGAAGCTTCTCTGGAGGTTTTTTTTTTAATCCTTTGCTGGTACTTTGCTTGTGTGAAGCCCGAAACTGACATATGTGTAGCTTGGAAACCTGACAGCTTGACTTTCTTAAGGGGAAAGGATTGTTTTAAGCTTTTTACACTGCTGTTAGGAGGAAATACTCCCCTTTTGGAGTTAGCACTTTGAAGAAATAATTGAATAACGAAGCAGAGCTGCCAGAAAGCTTTTAATAACAAGGAACCAAGATGAGTGACTTTCAGCAAGGCTTCTTGGCTAGCTAGAAAGATTGACATTCAAACATGAATTTACATACCCTTTCTGAGTTTTGGTCTAAAACTGGTTTTTGGTGAAGTTTAATTCTGTGCTTGGTGACGTTTAATCCTGTATTTATTGATGGGATAATTTTCCCTATTTAGCTTTGTTTGGAAAGAAAAAAGGTTAATCTCTGTTCCTGAAAAGAAACTGGGTTGAGAAATCTGGCTAGTTCCTGTGTCTATTTGTTCTGATAATTGGTTTAACAAGCAAAAGCTACTGTTGTGATTTAATTATTTGTATTGTGTCTGAATTTTTTCCTGCCTCATGTTTTTTTTTAATCTGGGAAGGGGGTCTTCCTTCACTGCTTTAATGGTTTCTGGCACTGTCCTTTTAGGGTGTACTTCCAAGAGGCAGGATGCAAGCTTGGCACTGATTTTTTTACTTCCTTTCTGGGGGGCATGTGGCCTTTCCTTAAATCTGGACAATTTCCTTAGGATATCTTATGAGGTGAATGAGACCAGCTGGTATCTTTAAATGGTGCAAATGGATCTAAGGATTGCTTCTCTTGGGTGTGCTCTTTCTGGAGAGCTTAAATGACCTCTCTGCTAAAGGGTTTCACTTTATGGGTAAGAGTTGGCTGCTGATAGTTACCATTGCACTTTAACTATTTTAATTTCTCAAGGTGCTCTGGCACCCTGCCTGATTTGTAACTCTGGCTTGCAGGTATTTTTTAATCTAATGATTGGTATTTAGAGCAGCTTTTTGCAAGCAAAGAAGCTTTTTGTATTTTTGTACAGGTAATCCTTGACTTACAAGAGTTCATTTAGTGACCATTCAAAGTTACAATGGCACTGAAAAAAGTGACTTATGACCATTTTTCACACTTACGACCGTTACAACATCCCCACAGTCAGAAGAGGCCAGGCGAGGAGAAGCACCCCTCAATGTGGGTGATGTTGGATTGGCCACACCAGTCAGATGACCACCAAGTCACACTCACCAACTAAGCCATGCCCACAGAACCGGTTGTTAAAAAAATTTGAATCCCACCCCTAGCTTGATTCTATTCCTCTGTTAATGCAACCTAGGATTGTGTTGGCTGTTTTGACTGCTGCCGCATACTGCTGGCTCATATTACCAAGTAGGACTCCAACATCCCTCTCCCAGTTACTGCTATTCCACCAGATTTCACCTAATCTGTGCCTATACATTTGGCTGTTGTTGTTGTTGTTTGCCTAGATGTACAACCTTATTTTCTCACTATTGAATTTCATTTTGTTACTGTAGATAGGGCCCAATATTCAAGTCTGTCGAGATCCATTTGGATCTGAGGTGTTGGCTATTCCTGCAAGTTTAGTGTCATCTGCATCAATGGATCTCGAAAGACTTGAACACAGAGCCTGGTGTGCCCTATCTGCCAAAATGAAATTCAATGGAAGGAAAAGTAATGTTTTATACTTATGCAAGAAAAACCAAATGAACAAGCATAAATTAGGGTTACCTGGGTTAATAGCAGTAACTTTGAGAGAGATCTTTGGAATCCTAGTGAACAATCAAATATAACTATATATTCAAGTATCCTAATATTTTTCTCTCAATTCTTCTATCATTTGCTTTTGTCTCTTTCCTGTCTCCAGTGCAACTTCACTTTGATTTAAAATTTAAATAATAGTTGCCCGTTGGATAGCAGTAATTTTGGCACAGCATTAAGAATCAAAATGTTATGTGATAGCCATCAATTAATTGGCTGGGGAATAGAAAACCAGTCTCAAGTATGCATTTAGGATGGACTAAAGAGAATGGGCAAAATCAAGGAATGGAGATATTTCGAATATCAGATTCCATCACACTTAGAACAAAGTTATTTCTAGATGCAGCCATAGAATGGTAGTTTTAGAATCTGAAGCAGTGAGAGACGATCCAAAGTTGCCTTTTAGAACACTAGAATTTATTCCTAATTCTGCTGTTTGATTGGGCCTTTCTAATCTAAACCTAACATAAGTTTAGGTTCTCAGCCTGCAATGTTATATTCTCAGTCTCCTTGCTGTGGAGCAGTGAACAAGATTTATGAAACAGAGATAGATATTTAAGTAATGTCCCTCCTTCCCACTGCAATAGCAGTATAAGTATTTAGTTGACAATTCTCAATATATTTCACCCCCATCTACATCTCATTCTGAGAGAAGCAGAATTTTCTTCTCACACAAAGCCAGTGATAAGTTTATAGAATATGTAATGAGCTATGAGAGGAGATGGAGAGCAATGGGAATTTGGCAGAGAAAGTTGAAATAGACTGCAGAAGAGCATAAGCAGAAGAGAGAAAGGGCCAAGGAGAGGGAGAGATTTCTGATTACTACTGATTGCCATTGTGTTGGTGACTAAAGCTAATTGTCAACTATGAGCAATGCTTATTGCTGACCCTTGTTGAAGCAGCTTCAGAAGACATATAAGGAAACCACTTTGTTATGTTATCCATATATTGAGGAGTAAATATGAGGAGTAAGCAGAGGTTTAATAAAAAAGTTCTTTCTTTCAGATTTTATACAAAATGTTGCATCCTGTTCTGGGTACTACCGGGGTATGTCTTAGGAAAGACATATAAAAAAGTTCTTTCTTTCAGATTTTATACAAAATGTTGCATCCTGTTCTGGGTACTACCGGTATGTCTTAGGAAAGACAATCACACTGACTGTCACACTGACAGTCACACTGGCAAGTCTAGAGGAGAACAATCAGATGATTAGGGCCTGGAGGAAAACTTTACAAGAAGTAGTTGAAAGTGTCTGATATATTTCACTTGGAGAAGATTAGACAGACATGGTAGCTGTTCAAACATCTGAATGACTGCTGTTATGTAGAATCTTTTCAAAGTTGATCCAAAATACAGAACTAAAAATAGTTAGATAAATGAAGTAGCTTCTGATTGGATGTTAAGACAAAATATCCTAGAAGTGAGTAGATCAAATGGCCTCAGGAAATAGTAACTTCTTCTTAATGGAAGTGTTTATACAGAGTGTTTATATCAGGGATGCTATAGTAGTGGATGCCTGTACTAGGTGGTCTATATTGGGGTGTCAAACTCAATTTCATTGAGGGCCGCATCAGGGTTGTGTTTGACCTTGGGGGGCCAGAGTAGGCATGACCAGGATGGGTGTGGCCAGCTCAACATCACTTGTGTAAGGGGCACATGTGATGGCCCGAGAGCTCTACCAGAGAAAATGGGCTTTTGAGCTCCATTTTCAGCTGCAACGGACTCCTGCTACCCTCTGTCAGTGGAAATGGAGCTCGGGAGAGCCATGGGCAGCCCTTGTAAGCTCCATTTTCACTTGCAGAGGCACCATGGACCAGTCCTTCACTGTTTCTAGGGTAGCCCCATGGGCCAGATCTAAGCACCCTGTGGGCTGGATCTGGCCCCGGGGCCTTGAACTTTGACATCCCTGGTCTATATGGATCCTTACTTTCTATGATTCTATAGTTTCAGTGTCTCCTCTTCAAGTAGGTATATAAGATATACAAGTGGTAAATTCAATATATGGTTATTATCCTTAATTTTTCAGAGTAACAAACAAACCCTATAAAGAATAGAGTATAAGTGCATCATCCATACAAATTATATTAATTATCTGCAATTTTCTGTAGACAAGCTAGTTCTAAACTGGGTGGGAAGTCACTGAAAAAACAAGTATTTTGTATTTGTATTTTAAGGTGGGTTTTGGGTAGGACTTATATAAGGAGTCCAAGGTTAAAATAACCTAGAAGCAGGTGCACAGGAGGGTCTAAGTACTAACATCTCAAAGATGACCTATTGATATGAAAGGTCCCTGTGCTAGTGAAGCACCCTTTGAGACAGGAATTGTGTGTGAAAAGGTAAATTTGGAATGGGTTTCCAGTATGAACTCAGTTCTTCTTTGTCCATCTCATTCCTACAGCTTCCTGATCACTGAGAATCAAGCGTGTTCTGAGATTGGCCCTTTGCTTGTCGACAGGATGGTCCTCGAGGTTCATTAGAACGGCGTAGGCGGCGTGGTGGCAGGCCAGCCAGCTGGCGGCAAATCTCCTCTAGACATGGACCAGAAAAAGAAAGAGCTAATCATTTGACACATGCAGCTTCATTTGCAAGAATAATTTTATGGATCTATAGCTTTAAAATCATGACTAAATATGAATGGGGGGGAGGGCACCCAGTTCAGTTTCTAATTAATACATATATTTTAAGGATAGCTTTCAATCTGTGAGTTTCACAGGTACTTGTCCCGAAGTCTGTAATATTTCATTTGCATAAAAGTCACCCGGGTTTCAGGAAAAACAAATATAAATAGAATATTTTAAATATTTTTTCTCTATGTGTTTTACGCATTTTTAATTTTTTTTCTGGTCATTGAGGAATATTCAGAGCAGTTTGAAAATCTTCAAGCAAATCTAATGTTTTTCTTTGCTGACCACTGTTCTATTTTATTTATTTTTATATCTGTTTAGGAATATAGTACACTTCAAATACACTTAGAATCACTGTGACACAACTGGAGAATATCCAGAAACTTGTGTGTTACCTAATAATCACCTAAACAAATCCTGGTTCTTCCTTCCCCCCTCCCCTTACCTATTCTGCATATTTAGCATTTCTGCATCTTCCCCCATTTGTTAGCAGGCTTCTTAAATTGTCTCACTGACAATTGAATGTTACTAGAATTATATAACCATACAGCTCTGATAAGAATGACTTTTCCTCCTTTAAAAGAGACACAATCATTTCTTTCTATGCATTGTTCTAATATTGGAATTTTTGATAAAAATATCCTTTTTTCTCATGTCACTTACCTTGCATGGCTTCATCTTCTTTGCAAACAATACGAGAGCAGATCTCCTTGTTTATTATGTATGCCCGACGGACACTGCCACCAGCAGTGCAGAGGACAAAAAGGACAGACAACACAAACAAAAAATCCCTGAGAACACAGCATTTAAATAGCAAAGTATAACCTACTATAATTGCTAATATAAGGACTTATTTTACCTTACACACAAATATGCACAACTCACCCAATCAGCTAAAGTGTATCTTTTGGAAAGCGGTATAAAGAGAAGAGATAGTTATGCCTTTGCTTAAACACACCATCTTATACCAGCTGTTTTCCTTCTATGAGTATCCAAGCTTAGCAGATGCAAGACTCTTCTGCAGAGTAAAGAGTTTTCTAGCTAATGGAAACTGTCAAAAAACAAAACAAACTTAGATTTTGCTTTCTGAACTGCAAATGCCAAATGCTTCTGTGTTTTCCAAAAACCAGTGTTCATGGCTAGATTGTGTTGTCCTAAGTTCCTGCATAGACTGCACTAAGTAAAGGGGCTGTTACATTATTTTGGCTTGGCCATCTTCCTCAATGTTATTGATCACTGAGAAAATCACTCATTAATTGCAGCACTACATGGGGTGGAGTGGCATGATGACTGGTGGTGATGGTGGTGACTGAGCTTTTCTTACTGCATCCTTCCTCCCTTGCACTGATGCCAACCAGCTTTAGAAGGCTTCTTTTGAACATGAGTTAGTAGCTCTCTTCAAGAAACAAGTTGCACATCAACTGGAGCTAAATAACAGCCAACTAGCATTTGAGGGGTGGTGGTGGGTGTTCAGTGAAGTGGCAGAGAGCCTGTTGGCTTTTTCTTTTTCAAAGCCAGGTCTCTAAGCTGATATGTTCTGAGATCTAATACACAAAGGGGGAAGATTCTAGTGGAACAGCTGGACTCATCTATTGCAAGAATGGACCCGAACAACAGTGCATAGGTACCAGAGGAGAGGGGTATGTCCTCATCAAACTCAGTGATCAGTACTCAATGATCAGTGAGAGATAGGCCAGAGGTCACCAAACCCTGGCCCATGGCCCATTATTATCCCTTGAGATGTATGGAACTGGGCTGCAGAAATGGCAAGTGAGCTTGCATGTGCATCCACTTGTATGAGCAGTTGGCAAGCGCATCTGTGCGCACTCCATTTGTGTGAGCAGCAGGCAGGTGTCAAAGCTGACTCTCAGTTTCATCATTGCCTGCACCTCATTTCAACTCACAGTTTGAAAAACAGAAACAGGAGAGTTGGTAAATTCCTAGGGAGCAGGGAGGGCTAAAGGATGTGTGAGAGGTTTCTGCCACATGAGAACAGTTACCTACCAAGGTCAAATTCCAAGAACTGTTTAAAAGACACAGATTGTTTTCCCAAAACAAAAGAATTGCATTTAATTGGTGGACAATGAGCTAAGGATGGCCCAGAGAAGAATGGAGTTTTTACCTATACTGGTTTTCATGGGAAAATGTCAGAACTGACTTTTCTTCTGCTGTACCTATATGGATTTTTCAATAAAGTTTATTCTTGGTAAAATCAAGGCCAGGAGGTCCTTTTTTAGAATGTGCCAACTGGGATGGTTGACATTAAGTCAGTTTTCATGGTAGTGCCTACCTGGACACCACTACAAAGTCAGTAAGCCTGTGATGCCAATGACAGACAAGGAGGAGGAGGAGAGGAAGCTGGGGAAATCCTTGGCTCAAGAAGCAGTGTTGCAGATTGGGTTAGAGGTTCAGCCAGCAGGCATGGGTCCCAAACAGGGAGCTGAAAAACTGAAGCTGGTCAAATGGGATGAGCTGATTGAGTAGAAACTTCCAATGGCCACCAGCAGCCTATTGATGGAGCAGCAGGGAGAAAGATTTGGCAGGCTAGAGATCAAAGGGTGCTACAGTGGTGGTGGCTGTGATGGAGGCGAGTGAAATTGCTAACCAACCCATCTCCTCCTGCAGCCAGTGGTATGGCAGCACCCAGCCCTTGTGATCCTAGGAGAAGCTAGGGTGCATAGGTACCTCCTCTACCACCAGCAGCAGTGTCCCTTACCACCATTGTGGTAAGAGATGGGTATCCAGATAAGCTGGCCCACTTCTTGGCCCAGACGTGGCATCACATGGAATGTTATGGAGGAATCTACCCAGATGATGCAGCCCAGGTTTACACAGTGGCATCCAACCTGGAAGGCAGCACTACTGGATGGCTAGTGTCCATGCATGCTAGCAGGCACCAGAGCTGGGTGAGCTGGATGCATTCATGCAGAACCTATGGGTGATTCGAGGACTTATGCACGTAATCCTGTATCCACACCCTTACGCAAAGAAAGAGGCCAGTGATAGAGTACATCCAAGACTTCCACACCCTAGCTAACCACTTGAGGGATTGGCCTGAGCATATGCTGGTTTCCTATTTCCGAGAAGGGCTGAACCGAGAGCTATACCAAAACTGCATACCCCAATAGGACTGCAAGTGTGGTTCTGAGTTGCCAGCAAAGTGGAGATCAACTTGATGGAGTTCTGAGAGCATGCCACACTGGAGAGTCAAACCTGTAGAACACCCAAATTATGGCTGGGTCCCAACTCCATGAGCTGGGACAAGTAAAAGTGGCATATGCAAAGAAAAGTCACTAATCAGCAAGAGCTAGGGAGAGTTCAGAGAGCTGGCCATATGCCTGCGATTTGAAAAGTGAAAGAAGAAATCATGAATATACTAAGAGGAGACAATGGGTTAGAGCCACAACAACGAACTGGAAGAAACCCCAGACCGGTCCAACCAACTCCTGAGGGAAGCCATGAACCTCATGGCATGTGGATCCAGGCATGTGGATCCAGGGTACCCCAGCTTGTGCTGCAGGCAAGATAGGAGTGCAAAAGGAGGCTACTGATGAACGAAGGGGATCCCCAACCCCAGGGGGTGTTATGTTGTGGGCAAGAAGGAGCCAGAGACAATGGATCCACAGTCAATGTTTAGTGGTAAGTACTCAATTCCAACTGCAACACCACGAGGGCTAACAGCTGGCGGACTCCCTTATATAGCGGTTGCCTGCCATGCCGTTAGCCAATTAAATAACTGTATTTTCCCACATTACTAACAGCAGGCTATTCTGTGTCTGCTGCTGCATAGACACAACACCCCCTCACCATCCAGCTGGTACTTTAATACTATTATTCTATTATTACTTACTACTAACTAGTATACTTTATTAACATTTAACTTATTACTTAATTAACTTATTACTTATTATTATACCATAACTTTAACTACAGACATAGTCCTTTAAGTCAGCTGGTCGTTTCCAAGATCGATTCGACCTCCCGTCCTCCCAGACTCTGGGTTGCTCAATACACACATCAGTGTCTTTGTCAAATTTCAGAGTCACTGGATGTGTCCCTGAGGACTTCAGCCGGTAAGGGGTTCATGACAGGCGTCACCTCAGGCACTGCGATCTCCTTCTCCGGTAAGTCTCTCTCCTTGTCCCCCTGTAGTTCAGTGTCCTCCAATTTGCTATCAGTCAGTCATGCCAGGTTTCTCCTCAGCTGGTCGATGTGTCTGTACCACCCCTTACTGTTGCTGAGCTCTACACGGTACGACTGGGGCCCCGTGACATCAAGTATGTGGCCAGGTACCCAAATAGGATTTTCAGCATAGTTTTTGGTGTACACCCTTTCACCTTGTTGGAACTGTCTGATTGTTTCTTCATCTCTTTGTTGATTGTCTGCCCCGTAGTTGGGTTGTATCCTATCCAGCTGTGTTCTCAATTTCCTCCCCATTAACAGCTCCACTGGGCTTCTGCCCGTAGCCATGCATGGGGTAATGTGCTGGGTTAAAAAGTATCTCTCTAGCTTTTCTTGTGAATTGCCTTGCCCCATTCTGCTTAGGGCCTCTTTTGTTGTGGCTGATACCCCTGTTAGCCAGGAATAGTTCAAATGGCCTGGCCATAAACTGTGGCCCGTTGTCAGAGACCAACACATCTGGCAGGCTATGGGTGGTGAACAATTTGTGTAATACATTGGTTGTGGTATCTGTAGTGGTATTGCTCATGACAGCCACTTTCAACCACTTGGACGAGGCGTCGATGATAATTAAAAAGTATTTATTGTGTATTGGCCCAGTGAAGTCGACCATGGACCTCTTGGCATCTCCCATTCTCGTGGTGGTGTGACAGGGGGGTGACATGGTTTGCAGTAGGCGACCCACTGTTCGATGTCTTTATCCATGGATGGCCACCACAAATAACTGCGAGCCAATGCCTTCATGCGGACCATCCCGGGATTTCCTTCATGTAGTGTCTGCAGCAACGATTCTCTCAGTTGTTGGGGTATCACTACGCAGCTCCCCCACAGTAGGCAACCCTTCTGTACTGATAGTTTGTGTTGCCTCGCTTTAAATGGCCTAAATGCTGTACTTGTTGGCTTGTTAGGCCACTCTACCCACACCCAGGTCAGTACCTGTGCTATGGTTGGGTCTTCTTTGGATTTTTTGGCCACCTTGGTGGCAATGATCAGTCCCATTTGTAGAGTCTTGACTAGTAGTACTGTCACGACTGGAGCAGGGTGTTCCACTTGTTGTGCCAACGGGCATCTACTCAGGGTGTCCGCATTGCTTATGTTCGAGCCTGGGTGGTATATGAACTTGTACTGATAGGCCGCTAGGAATTCAGTCCACCGAATCATGTGTGGGGACAGGATCTGCGGTGTTTGCTTGTCACCCACGAGGAGGCCTAATAACGGTTTGTGGTCAGTTATAAGTTAAAACTTCCATACATACATATACTCGTGGAATCTTTTAATCCCTGCGACAGCAGCCAGCGCCTCCTTGTCAAGCTGGCTGTAATTTCTCTCTGCCCCAGACAGTGTTCTCAAAAAAAATGAAAATAATTTCTCTCCACCGTATGGAGAGGCATCACAAGTCAGGGTTAGCAGTGGGGTTGATAAGAAAACTCCATGGGCCTGGGGTCAGAAGGAAGCACTAGCCTTCAAACAGCTCAAAGACTTGCTAACTTCAAACAGCGTTCAGTACAATGAGACCCCACTGCTAACCCTGACTTGTGATGCCTCTCCATACGGTTTC